AATGAACATAACCCAAAATTTTGGGTTGCAACTCCCCAGATGAGAACCACTGCCTCTGAACAATACAAATAATTATAATATTTTGAGATCAACCCTGACAGACTCTTAATGTTGTAGACAAACAGATTAGGCATTATTGAACTAACAACACAATGTCCAGCGTTGCTTGATAACAACATAGTTATACATCATTCCACTACTTTCAGTTACAGATGTCTCACTTTCTGAGAATGTCAACTCTGAACTGGATGAGATCTCCAAGGTATAGTGACATTTCTGTGTATTTGTGACAGTTTTTGTAGTTTTTTGTTTTGCAGAGATCAAAATTAGAGAATAACCCACTATTTCCTAAATTTCAGGGTCCTAAATTTTACTGCTTAGTCCTATTTGAACTTGTCCTAACAGGAGTAGAAGGGCAGTTTTTTAAGCATATTTCATAAACTAAATGTATTCTGAAGCACAGTATAAAAAAACAAATGAAATATTTAAAAAATTACTCTGATCAAAATTAGAAAACACTTACATATACTTCCCATTTATTGGTGTTAATCTGGCACCTAGTGCTATTTTTCTTAATTATATGACAAACCCTATTTAACTGGCAGCATTCCTCTAATTTTCACTGAGATTGCAAGATGGCAGGCTGCTTTAAGGTGACTGAAACCATGCGACAGCAGGTTGTCCTGATGAAGGCCAAAGGGATGACCCTTTCAGCCATTGCAAGAGAAGCTGGTCATTCCAAATCTGTGATTTCTAGAATATTGCAGGTGTACATTGACCCTAATTCATTCAAGTCCCCCCAAAAAAGGCTGGTCGTTGGGGAACCGATGAAGAGTCATGTCAACACTGCAGCTGGAATTGCTCTCCAGTTCAGTGCTGAATAGACTAAGGATCTGTCTCAGGATGTTTAAGAGAAGTTGGACTGAAAACGGACTCTGCAGTGACCTTTCATCAGCAGAGAGAATCAAAAGTCTAGACTAACCTTTGGGGAGGAACATGTTGTGTGGAGAGAGGTGAACTGGTCCAAAGTTCACTTTAGTGATGAGAGTAAGTTTAATTTATTTGGGTCTGATGGAAATCATTTTGTTCGGCATTAAACTGGGAAAGACTGAACCTCGAGTGCGTAAAGAAGTCAGTGAAAGGTGGAGGAGGAAGTGTCATGGTTTGGGGAATGTTTTCTGCAGCAGGAGTTGGGCTTCTTATATAGATACATGGCAGGGTGAATGCAAATGTTTAACAGAACTGCCTTCAGCAACATACAGTTCCTTCCCTGCAAGGATCTCCCAATCAGCCAGCAATGTTCATGCAAGACAATTCCCCCTGTCACACAGTAAAATGGGTAAAGCAGTTCCTTGAAGCTGAAAACATTAAAATAATGAAATGGCCAGCCCAGAGTTGTGATCTAAACCCGACTGAAAATCCTTCTTTCATTGCTAAGAAACCCACTACAGTCACCGAATTATGGAAGAGACTGGAAGAAGATTGAACCAAGATCACAGCCGCACAGTGTAAGAAACTAGTGATGTCCTGCTGCCGCAGATGTGCTGAAGTCATTCAAAGCAAGGGCCTCTACACTTTCTACTAATTTTTGACAGCGGTAACCCTCAAAAATTTTAGTTGTAATCTTCTTTCATGCTACAGTGGTTACTGTTCTCTAATTTTGATCACTGTGTTTTCAACAAACAAACAACAAAGGTTTTTTGTTGAAATGCCTTGGTTATTTTGTCAAACATGTTAGTAGAACAGTAATATACCACAGCTGATATTTCTTTAAAGGAATATAAAGCAATAAACTACTGATTAGATATTGAATTGTGTTTTCACTTAAGGTTCCTAAAGTTCACCCCATTCATACTTACGTGGCACTTTACAAGTTCCTCCCTCAAGAGCAAAATGACTTAGAATTACAGTAAGTAACAGTGTGTGTGTGTGCGTGTGCGTGTGCGTGTGAGAGAGAGAGAGAGAGAGAGAGAGAGAGAGAGACAGAAAGTATATGTCTGTGTGTTTAAATGTATTATTAACACATTCCCATATATAAGCACACAGATGATTTAGAAACATCACATTTGGCTTTTCTCTCTGTTTTAATCTCAGTCCTGGTGACAGAGTTATGGTGACTGATGACTCTAATGAAGAATGGTGGAAGGTGGGTATTTATGTTCAAAGAGCTCTATATTCTCAGCAGCATAGTAGAAGGAGTGGGAGATCAACTCTACCCTAGTGAAAAATATATACTAAAATGTATTTGAAATACATTTAGTTTGTGCTAAGTATACTACAAATACATTTACATATTTATGTTCTTAAAAATACACTGCAATTGTACATTTGGTTTACTAAACTGGATCTAATTTTGTGCTTAATGTACTTTAATTGTGCGGAAGTAATACTGAGGCCCAACTAAAGATATACTGAAGTATGTTTGATTGTGCTGAAGTGGAACTATTGCAAGCATACTTCAGGTACACTTTAAATATCTTGTATTTAAATACTGATATTATACAGATATCATACAGTCCTTATTACAAGTAATATTAAAACACATTTTAGGCATAATATTAAGAAATGTGCATTGTGCAATAAAGAAATACTCCAAATAAAGCTTGTATTATTATTGAATTATAATTTTATATCTGTAAGTCTTATGTGATATGTCAATAAATATGTTCATGGATTTGAAGTATACTTAGTATGAAATAATGTATTTCAAATAAATCATAGCATAGGATTTTTACTAGGTTAAAGATACTCATTAATGTTCTTTAAATCATTTTAGGGGGAAAATTGAAATCAGCAGTTGAAATCATTTTGGAAAATTCTGATATTAAAATATTTAGAACTTTAGACAGCAACGTGGTTTTGAAACACAAAGCAGTGCTGTACTTATAAACATTATTTTATTAGTCATTTTATGGAGGTAGTATGAAAAGAAAATGCCATCAATAAATTCTGAAGTCAGTTCTGTTCAGAGAAACATCCTCTTTTCAAGGGTATTTGAAAGGGTCTTTCAAGGGCATCCTCTTTTCAAGGGTCTTTCATACTAATTTCTCTCTGTTCCGGGTTTGATGAACCCCCTAGGTGAGGTCTAGGATGTTTAATGCAATGTCAGCTTTTTATTTCATGCTTCCATTTGGAGAATGTTGTATTTTGAGGATACTTAAGGAGATGCAAAAGGCACAGTGATTCTGTAGCCAGATGACACCATGGATTTGAATATTTTCACTACATTTTCACAGCTCTGTCTTTCTGGTCAGGTATGCATTTTTTACTCTTAGATTTACATTTACATTTAGTCATTAGCAGATGCTTTTATCTAAAGTGGCCTACAAATGAGGACAATAGAAGCAATCAAACTAACAAAAGAGCAATAATATGTAAGTGCTGTGACAAGTCTTGGTTAGTCTAACACAGTACACGTAGAAATATTTTTTTTTAGCATAATAAATAAAAAGAAAACGAGTAATTAGAATAAAGAATAGAATAGAGAGTGCAAGTGTTAGAGGGTCAAGTTTTTAAGTAAATAAATGAAAAGAAAACAAGTAGATAAAATAGAAATAGAAAAAAGTGTGCTAGTGTTAGAGAGTCAAGTGTAGATGGAAGAGATGTGTTTTTAGCCATTTCGTGAAGATGACTAAGGACTTAGTTGTTTGGATTGAGTTGGGCAGGTCATTCCACCAGGAGGGAACAGTTAATGTAAAAGTCCATGAAAGTTATTTTGTGCTGGGATGGCACTATAATGTGCTGTTCACTTGCAGAACGCAAGCTTCTAGAGGACACATAAGTCTGAAGTAGTGAATTTAGGTAAAGTGGTGCAGAGCCAATGGTTGTTTTATAGGCAAACATCAATTACTTGAATTTCATGCGAGCAGGTACTGGTAGCCAATGCAAATTGATGAACAATTTGCAAATTGTCTGTGAAATTTATAATGGTTGATGCGCCTAGCCGAATGGTGAAATTGCAATGAAGTGATGGGTTTGCTGAAACCACCATCAGCATAGCAGTGATATGAAAAGTCATGTTTCTCAATGACACAACCTAGTGATGCCATGTAGACAGAGAAGAGAAGTGGTCTAAAAACTGAACCCTGATGCACCCCGGTAGCTAGATGTTGCGACTTGGACATCTCATCCTTCCAAGATACCTTGAAGAACCTATCTGAGAGGTAAGACTCGAACCACTGGAGTGTAGTTCCTGAGATGCCCTTTGCTAACAGGGTTTACAGGAGGATCTGGTGATTAACTATGTCAAAAGCAGCGGACAGATCCAGCAAGATAAGTATTTAAGATTTGGAAGCAGCTATTGCCAGTCTTAGGGCTGCAACAGCCAAGAGTAAGGCAGTTTCGGTTGAATGACCACTTCTGAAGCCAGATTGGTTGCTGTCGAGGAGATTGTTCTGTGTGAGAGAGACAGAGACTTGGTTGAACACAACTCATTCAAGTGTTTTTGCAATGAATGGAAGAATGGATACCGGTCTGTAGTTCTCTGAAAAAGCTGGGATAAGAGTGGGTTTCTTAAAGGGTTAGTTCACCCAAAAATTTAAATTAGCCCATAAATTACTCGCCCTCAAGTCATCCTAGGTGTATATGACTTTCTTCTTTCAGACGAATCCAGTCGGAGTTATATTAAAAATTGTCTTTGATCTTTCAAGCGGTTTAATGCCACTCAGCGGGTGTTGCATGCATCAGTCCAAAATAAGTTAAATAAAAAGCGCCCATCCATTAAATGGGTGAAGGGCATACCTCATACGTCATCCGCCCGGAACTGCTTCCGTGTATAACAGTGAGCGCAAGCTAGATTAAAGTGATTATTACGTTTTAAATATGGTTATTTTTCTTGATGACTTGAGGGTGAGTCATTCATGGGCTAATTTTAATTTTTGGGTTAACTAACCCTTTAAGAAGTGGGGTTATCTGAGCCTGTTTAAATTCCGAGGGAAAACCATCAGTGTGAAGGGACATGTTAATGATGTGAGTGCAGGCACAACTGAAGAAGAAATGGCTTGAAGGAGATGAGATAGAATTGGATCAAGCGGACAAGTAGTAGGATGATTGGAAAGGATGAGTTTAGAGACTTCTGCCTCAGAAAGTGGAGAGAAGATCGTGAGCGATTGTCTGTTTGGCTCATCAGATTAAATATATGAATATTCTTCTAGAGAAAAATTCTCAGACACCTCTGCTTTAGCCCCAATATTTAATTGAACACCCATGCTTAAGGTCTTTGCATGAAGTGTCATTTTGTAAAATAAAATAGCATAAAAAAAAACAGATAATAAAATAATAATTTGACATTAAAAAAATGATTTAAAACTCCTGGTTTGCTGCATATTGCTAAGCAAGCTCCCTAAAACAATATTCTTAATATCCTGATTGGCTGTCCTGTTACTGTTGATTTTTTTTCTTTGCAAATGTGATATTTTATATATGTTTTCTCTGATTATGTAATGGACATGATACATATTCACCTGATAAAATTAATTATTTTATTAAAATTAGTTATTTTAATTTTTTATTCAGACTTGCGGTGCAAATTATTGTCTTTAGTAGGCACTTTTTTTATCTTAAATTTCATAGTAATATTAATATACAATTTCTTTCCCTATTTTTTTTGTCTTCCCACAATGTCTGCTAAACATATTTTTCTGGTGTCCTCTACAGAGGACATGTAAGAAATCAATGTCCTGTTCTGATTTGAATCACTGAATGATTCTGATTCTAAATGATAATTACAAAATATTATCATATTTCCATGAGAGTGCTGAATTTAGTAATTCAGTCAATGTCAGTAATTTCTAAAGACGAATTAGAGGGAGTTTTCATGGTTAAACCTCCAAACATTGGGTATGTCTGAAAAGCCCTTTGTTCTTTACAGTAAATCCAGACTTAATCTGTGACAAGTTTGGAAGTTTGGGGGAAAAAATACTATAGAAGTGATTGGCTACTTACAACTGTTTGGTTACCAACATTCTTCAAAATAGCCTCTTTTGAACAGAATAAAGAAATTCGTATGTTAAGAACAACATGAGGGTGTGTAAATGATGACAAAATTTTCATTTTTGTGTGAACTCTCCCTTAAGGCTGAGAATTGGTACCAATACTAAAACTCAGTGCATGAATAGTTATGGGTTATTATCAGTTATTATTATGAGTTATCGGTTAAGGCTATGGCCTAAGGCTTAGGCTAAGACTTGGCCACTGCAGGGCTGCCATTCCAGTTTTATGTGGGCTGTTGTAATTGCTGTGTACATGCACTTATGTCAGTGTTGCAGTACTAGAGGCCAGACACTATATGTGCCCTGTGGAGGTTTACATGACACTGATGTCATTCAATTCAAAAGAAAGCATATTCACACGTGAATTGTTCAGACCTTTTTAAGGAACTCTGTTTTGGCCATCTTGTGATCTTGGCTCTGGCTCAACCTACTCAAAGTCTCTGCCTGGACTCGGACTCAAATAAGCCTGTCTTGATGACAACACATTTATGCCACCTCTGAGAAGCATCTGAGCAATTGTGCAAATGCATGTAAATGCCACTTCAGATGCAGCTTCAAAGCCACAGAGCTATAGCACTGCAGGACTACTATTTGGTTGTATGGATTTGAAAAAGAACTGTGTCACATGTATGTTCTATGTATTGTTTGAATTCTGTCTTCAGTGTCTTGCTTGACCTAGTTTACCAGTACGTGTGATCATTGTATTCAGTTCACCTCCAGTCTATTAATAAGCCTATTAGGTTTAGTATTCATTTGGCTTAGTATTTATAGTCCCTGTATGATTCCTGTGTTCAGTGTCCTGTCTAACATTGTGTTTTGGATGTGTTGCAAACCTGTTTCTCTGTATTTCTTGTGTAAGTTTGATTAAAGACTATTTTCTTTTTATTTCATCTTCGTGAGCTCTAATTAACAATATTCAGTTACAGAAGACAGGACCCAAAACAGTGTTTTATTTTGAGGCATTTTCTTTTGTTTACGTTTGTTTTTGTTTGTTGTTCCTTCCATCACCATGGACCTTCCTGCTATCCAGTTATTGTGCCTGGAGCAGAGGGAACCTGGAAATCCACACCAGGGACTTCATCAACTGGCGAACTGGACACACTACCCAGACCGCGGTTCTCATCAAGATGTTGCTGCATGTGTAGAGTGTGTGCTG